CAATTATAGATTTTATACACTTTAGTTGTTTTTGCATACAAGGCTTTGCATTAACCCTAAAGTTATTTATAGCTCGCACAGTATAGACTAGTAGGAGAGTCAGGAGTTCTTCGAACGAGATTGAAATTTAGCATTAACAGTTTTTTAAAAATAGATTCACATCGTGCGAGGTGGAAAATTAATTAATTCTTTAACAAATATTCAATTACAACTGTTTTATTCAACTTTACTCAAGGATCAATTTTCAGAAGAATTGTCACGCAATATTCAKCTAGTTAGTGCAGCAGTTCTGTTTCTTTTACCCAACATTTAAAATTCTAACTTTGTAACTTCGYTTTTAACATTGAAGGAGACAGTCCATCGACGTTCCAAAAGTCTTGTGTTTCCGATATCTCGTGGTAAAACTTTTCCTTMCCCAAYAAACGAASTCCAACTGGACGAAKAATGGACTTGAGGAACCAATGAATGTGGTGCCCRTGAGCACCCACACTATTTGGTGCCACGTTGTAGAGAGCGCGAAGAGGACCCATAAGATAATTTGCCATTTCGTGGTCTTCAAAATCAGCAAAGCACGACACGAGACCTCCATCAACAAATAACGTGCCTTCATTTGTAACTGGTGCGTAGGCCCCTTGATCGTACCCASTAGCAACCCCAACAACCACGTCCGCGCTTGTCATGATGTAGGACTGGGTGTAGATTAGATCACCTGGACGAATCTTGGCTGCGTGGACGGCTTCCGGTGAGAAAAGACGGARYGAAGTCATATCTTGYTTRGCCCTGAATATCAAGTGACCGGCTTTTAATGTGATTTGGTTTCCAGATGCGGTCAAAATCTTCAGGTAATGACCTCGATGGGATACTGACTTATCCAGGAATGTAACGACCTTTGAATTTATAAATGTTTGTGTTAATGAAATATAATGTCGACATACATACATTTTTCTTTTGTTTAATTGTTATTTTTATTTAGCATATTTTTAGAGCATCTGTATGTTTTACATTTACCGGTGTGTATTTAATCTTTCCCTGTTTGGACAAGGTCTTCACTCGTTGGCCTATCTTCACATCTTTCATAGCAACTTTCCGTCCAGATTCTAACTCTACCGTCGAACTTGATGGAAAGCACAATCCGCCGCCACCACCTTCATTTTTGACGTTGATTTGACAAGATTCTGGGATAAAATAAGTATTACATTTAGGTATCAATGGTTATTCTCTTTATGAGTTGTGCAAATTTTATGATTAATGGTATGGTACACAGGACACCTGCCTAACGCCGCAAATTTAACGCCATTTTGAACCAATGTTGCACTTTTTATCGTAGCAATGAAAAATGCTTTTCTAGTTACATGGGCTTCCAAAGGAAGACCATGTCTTAAATTACCGTCGTTCGTCTGTGGTATGCTTCAAATTATATCCGGGACCTTTTCATTTTTGACATCTATTGTCTTACTGTCATTTATGTTTCTAAGCAACGATTCAAAGGTCGCCTCGTGTATATAGCCGGCAAAGTTTTAAGATCGAACATATTGGATCTAGGTCATCTAGCTTCTACAAATACGCTAGATTCTTTTACAAACCATTCGCGGCATAGCCACACTAAAAAAATTCGAGCGTTTCTCAAAAGGGCATTTGGAGAGATACGGCGAATTTATCGTGATGATCTGCTGACCGTGAATTGTATATCAAACATTAGCTTATCAAAAGCTAAATTATACTAGTACCGGCTCTACAATCACCAAGGACTTATCTAAGACATGTCAACAGATTTATACTGAGGAAAAACAGAGGATTGAAAGTATTTTAAGCGAAGAACATGAAAGACTATCGATCTGTGTTTAATACAGCCAAGGATGCGACTCTTAAAGTAACGGCTCGTCAAACATAAATTACTTCTTTCACAATATTATTAAATTCTTCTAAGTACATTACTTGTTTGATTATTTTTCATTAAAGGAAATCTTTTTTTGCTGTTGTCTTAGGAATATTAATTTCATTAGGGTTCAATATCATTTACTGATTGTAATATACCACAGGAAGCCCATGTAAACGAAAACACCTGTTTTATCAACATTTATTTCTCACTTGGAACATGTGCTAGAATCGACATACCGTCTGGAGTCTGCCAGAAGTAGATACGGCTCAGGTTGGTGTGTTTCATGTAACCGTACGCACTAAAGAAGGTGAAGCCATCCCACAACAATGCGCTGCAAGGCGAACCTGTGGTGCCTGTGATATTCATAACCATGATTCCCTTTTTGCCGATGAAATCTGCTGGCTGAAGACGATATATGTATATATAGAGATAGATTAACTACCATATTTTATAAATGCATGATGAACATGCATTAATATTTTATTTTTCCGTCTTTAGTTGTAACCGCAGGTAATTCAAGTTTCCACTATAAATCTATACATTACACTTACCGTCCAACTTTCTAATGGCAGGCCATACATGCGCAGTAAGTGCTTAACCAGGTCCTCACGACTGAACAAGAAATACATGTTGAAACTGCTTTTCTTGTTCTTGAATGTGTTGAAGTGATACTGGTCCGGATCGGCGCCTGTAACATAAATAGATCATTGATTATATTCGAATTTCTAGTCTTGCGATAGCCATGCCGGGAGCCTCTTGACTCGAACGCGGCAATTCAAGGGTCACTTGAAACTTGGACAAAAGTCTACCAATGATTACCAAGTTTTCCATTGATAAACAGTAAAACATCATTATATGATGTTTCAATGCTATACTACAGGCTTAGCTCGCCGGCTAATAAGCTCGTATTTTGGTCGTAGCTAATTTAAATCATGACGTCACCTTTTGGCAGTTCAGTAATCACGTGACCCCCCACAAGGTTCAATGTGGTGCTAATTCGAAGAGGACATGTGTCATTAGGTGTGGTCATGTTCTGTGCTCCAATGGCGTTCATCAGAACGTTACCAGGGTATTGCCCGCCATATCTTGCTTCGCCGGGGTATACATTCTTCATCTGGCTGAAGGTTGGCAAACGTCCTGTAAAAATTGAATATTAGATGTAGCAAAGGCTTGACAAATTCTAATAAAAGACATGTGATGTTATGGAATGATAATAGAAAGCGCATTTAGCACACCCTGATGTATCTGTTATCAATATTGGGTGGAATAGATAAAAATGATTTAACTCTTAAAAACCTATAGTAAAAAGAAAGCACTCCAGTTATGTTTCTATTGGTAATCAACCTATGACAATCGTTGTTCCACTGAAAGCCTTGAACACCTTCATCGCCTTCAGAAGAGCTGCATCAAGATATATTCCTACAGTTTTAGGCAGGTTTTCACGAAGACGGCATTGAAATTACTTTCCATTCTGTAAAAACTATACCAAATTTGGTCTTTATGAACTTTCCTATGATTTGTTCAGCAAGACTGTGTTGCATTTTGGAAAACTTATGGTCGATCTGTACTTTTTCTTTGAAGCATGCATATAGTTTTCTAATATAATATGGCGCAACTCGAAAAGTTGAAGGAAATAGGGAGAAAAATGGAAAAATTTCTTACTTGTCTCAACTGCATTCAAGCTTGTTAGAGTCAACAGCGACAAAAAGCACCAGTATTTCTCCATCATTTTTTCTCCGTTTTGTGGGAATCCTTCCTGAAGCATGCAGACCGGTGCCCAAGGGAACTTGTTTACAGTTGATACTCGAGTTTAACTCTCCTTAAAACTACCTGTTTGAATAAATTAAAGAGTTTTTTGGAAGACCATTGCATAATTAATGGTAAACAGCAAAATGGACAACAAAAGTGCTGGAAAACCGTAGTAATTTCAGTTAATTAATCAAGTGGAGTCAAAACTCCGACAATTACCAAATTCAAGTATAAATTCATTCGTTCGTTGGAAACCATTGGGAGTGTAATTTTGAGATGTAATTTGGCAAATTTCCTTTAAAAAGAGCATTTCATCCCGTCAGTGTCAATTTTTTTCATTTTCACTTCATGTGCCATCCGTCAAGAAAAAAAAAAACATACAAAAAAAAACCAAGTGTACTTATAGGGCAATCGCACAATCAATTTCTGCCATCTTGGATATAAAATGCATTTCGTTGAATACTCTTCTAAAAATTGTTTTATTTTCTATACTTAAGAGTTATAGAGTATATTTAATTGTAATTTATCGCAAACTCTCGAGGTTGATATGTTGTTGACGAGTGTGGTGTCCAATGTGACTCTTGATGCTGGTGGCATCGTTCGGTGAGGTCATYCCWTGGCGTCTTTCTAATTCCTAAGTTTGAAATGGGAGCGGCCCAGTTCAGCGAGAAAAATCTCCGGCGTTTCATATTCAAAATCTACCGAATAAAGATCTTTTTCATCATGTATAAATGAAGTTTACTGTGTCAAACTTGATGGCAGTAATAAGACAAATTTCAGTAATATATAAAAAGGCAAAGAAATCCTATGAATACGATTTTGGAAATATAGCCACTCCATACTTAGGGATTATTCTTCRCTTAAAATAAAATCATATAAATTCCTTAATTCTATAATATACATAAAATAGTCATTATTGTAGAAATTGTATGACGGAGCATTCACACGGCGGTACAAATAAATGGAAAAAATTTTTCTTTACTAGCCACTAAGGAATAGATATGTCTTCTCTACTGAAATATGCCATTAGTTGTGTCATGCAAGAAAGTAGTCGGCCTAACGGGCTGAGTTCAAGCGATTACACTACAAACGTTTTGAAATAGRAGCTTTTTATTACATTTAGAAATATTCGACAATAATTACAAAATATACACGAAAGCAGAATGCTGACCTGGCATACCATACCACAATGTAAGATATCATAATACAACGATTTTTATCCAGTTCATGAAATTCGCGCGCAAGTTATTTCGCGTAGTACGGTTGATAGTGCCATCACGCAAATTGTACTATACTCAGCAATCTTACGTATTTTTACTACGCGATGACTACGCATGTGGTCGCATTGAATTCAGGCACGCGGTTGTCATGGTAGCAAGCACGTTGTCAAGGAAACATATATTTGGCTCCCACRTYATATTTKTGCTGGTGTTCCTTCGTAGTGTACCCTTTGGTCGGACCTTCTTTCCCGCCGAAAAAGAATAGGTTTCAAAATCGCGAACAAGGTAGTCGTGTAATTACAAGTAGATGATTTTCTTTCATGTTATACAGAACAGATAATGCGGTTGTCTTGGTAACGTGCAAGGAATTTCCTCAGAAGCATGCACATGGTTGTCCTGGTAACGTGCACTTGGTCGTTGTCACGTGCTGTAGATTGATGTTAGTACGAAGATGATTGGACGAGATGGCATAGTTTCCCTTTTCCAAAGTATTATTAAGTCATGATACGTTCCGTTCTATTTTACATGGATATTGCTTTGGTCGACTTAGCAACGATGATCATATAGTAAAACGTGGAACTAATCCAGTCAGTAAAGTTCTTTATTCCCAAGTTGCAAGTGACAAGTCGCCATTACTTCAAAGATCGTCAACGTCGTTCAAAAATCGATGGCGTTATGTTTATATGAAAASATCACTGACGCATTATGATTAGCATATYAATATATTTGTACATAGGTCGACAAAGCTTTGAAAATGAGTAGATCCCAGAAGTCCATTGTCAATGACCAGAAAAACGGTCGTAAATGTTCGTAAAATGCTCGTAAAGTGATCGAATGACAGCTCGTACAATGTTCAATCAATGTTCGTATCAAATGTGGTCAAATCGCAATGTTTGTAGCAATGTTCCAATAAGACCGAAAAGGTCATCGTTAATGCAWTTATGTACATTATTGGTAAGTGCCTCAAAAATGTYCGGCAAGTGATCGATAATCTTCGGATAACAATCGGTCAATTATCGCTAAGCATCGCCGCACTATCGAAAATACAGAMAATTTATAGTAGAAAGAGGAACGATGCATTTAGCGCTTTGCTATAATAGCGGCCATGAAATAAGAGTCAGCGTTCTCCCACCTATCTCCCYTCGGCCCTAGTCCCATGCGAACGTATATTTCCTTTGTAACATCTTCTCGATAGCGGCCACAAGTATGTCGACGACAGGTTCTGTAATGCCGACGAGAGCGAAGACGAAGTCGAGTGGCGACCGAATAATAATGATGATGCGGTGTTCCTCTCTCTCTGCTAACGATTACGGGGAAGCCTTGTTCAAGCAGTTCTAACGCACGAGAAGTCACATCCTCTGGGTTCGACATGTCGGATTTGACTTCAAGGCGTAAGTTCGTATTTTTCAGCAATTTTTCAATTCGTTTCATTTTTGCTRGTGAGGTGTCARCAGCCCCATGCGTTGAGCATGCGCTTTTAAGTATGTTGTGGATCTTCTCTATGAATAGTTGAGATGTCTTGTCCATGTCGAGGGACACTGGCTTAGACGAAACACCGAGAAGATTTTTCCTTTGAAATAAACAAAAAGATTAATATTAAAAAGGGCGAGCGTTTCATAGACGGAAAACAGCCGAGACTATAAGTTAATAACGAAGTAGTTCCGAAATTCATCCGATATGTTTACGGACCTTTGCCGAAAACAATATTACAATATTACAACGCGGTGATTGGCAGTTCATACGTAATATGCTACCCACAGCCGAATCTAATTTATTTTCGCGCGTCTGTACTCAAACTGTGATGAGAACAAAAGTACGCAACGAGACGAAGTGACTGTTGAAGCTAAACCGAGCAACCTATATACAGGGTGGTTACATCTACTTACGGATATTTGAGATGKGGCACTCGATGTGCAAGATTGTCCAAATACCCAAGCACCATTCCCCAGGCCACTGCACCAGATCCCGTCCAACAATGACCATGACGGTGCTGTTTATAGGTTGGGAACCATTGTGGGTATTCGATTTTATGTTCAGTGTCATGAATTGATCTTCCATGTCTCGATGTCTTTAGAATAATTCCGTAGTTGACGACGACGGCCTTTTTACGGGTTGTCCGTATCTCGATACGGAAACGTATCTCTTGGCCTTGAAGCTGTCTCCGTACGTAACGACTATCTGATTTGATTTGAAGTTTTATGTAGCGATCACCCATCATCGTCTGCTTGAAATAACGTTGCTTTACGCGCGTAAGATCCGATCCCTCGCAAGCATTGTCGAGTACGCGGCATAAGCGACGCTGCCAACGGTTAAGCCAGTTTTTCTTTTTCCGCCCATGCAATTTGGAATTTCGCAGTCCAGCGAATTTAATTCTGCATGGAAAATTGCCTTCCGTAAAACTTCCTGGTCCTAGAGGAATCTTAAACATTTGTCCCGGCTTGATTCCTAATTCCTCGACTTCGTCATCATCATCATCATCATCATCATCAAAGTCATCATCGAAATGATCGTCATTATCGTTGTCGTAGGTTTGTCGAGTTGGTTTTTGACCTAAGAGGATAAAAACTCGTATTTATGAGAATGTAATGAATAACTACAACAAATATTCGATAGGAG